TAATTGTAATATTTTACAGTGAAACACATCTAACAGGTGTTTCAGCCTTTTCCCTGAAAAATGATTGAAAACCACAATTAATCACATGAGAACATTTTAGAAAACCTGTCATGGATGGAGGAAACGTTACAGACCCCCCAAATAACATTACAGGTTTCTAAATTAGTTCAAATCTTTCTGTCTTTTTAAATAACTGGTCCAGCCAGATAAGGTCGCGTGAGGTCAGAAGTGGCAGCGAGGACCTGAATCCAGGTTAACGCAGGGTTCTTGTTTTTCTTGGGTTGACAACCCGGGGCTTTGGAAGTTTGTGCCCCCCCCCCCACACCATCCTCTAACAGTCTAACAGTCCTATTTTTTTAGATTTAGTTATGCTGATTGTAGCTGACTGTAGATGCACTAAATCAAAGCAGTTTTTTCCTTTCTTGTTAATAACGATGTGGAAAATTAAGTGTTGTGCTTTGTTGGAAGCAAAAATAAATTATGAATAGTAATGTGCAATTACTTGATTACTCGTTATTATATCAAAGTGCTTAAAACTGAGCGATATTTAGCCAAAGCCTGACGCACTGATCCGTTCTCGTTGTTTAATTACTTTGCCTCCTCGAGCTCTTCGGTGCGTTGGATGGCATCAGTCTCATATTTGTTCCTCCAGATGGCCACCTCCGAGTTCGCCTTAGACAAACAGCGCTGCAGCTCGGCTTTGGCCTCCTGCTCCTCCTCGTACTGCTCGCGAAGGAGGTCGCAGTCGTGACGAGCTGACTGCAGACTGTGAGCTAGGGCGTTTTTTGCCTGCGGAGGAGCACATCAATATGAAACGCCGTGCGTGAAACGAGTAAAGTAAACCAGCTGTTTGCAGGTGTGGGCGCTGATCACCTTCGTTTCCTCCTCTATCAGTCGTTTCAACTCGTCGATCTGTGTTGTGAATCCCTGTTTGCCTCTCGTCAGTTGGGAGACGAGACTTTCTCTCTCTTCCATTTGTCGGGATAATTCGGCTACAGCAGCCAAAGGAGAGAAGAACACTTTTTAATTAAGGCTCTGTCGTTTTATCGACTCCGATAAAAGGAGGAATTACCGTTCTCGGTCTGAAAGCGAGCTCTCTGATTGCTAAGGTCAGAGATTTGCCGCGTGTTTTCATCGTTTTTAGTTTTCAGCTCCATGAGTTGATCTTCGAGTGAGCGACACATCTTCTCCAGGTTGACCTGTGAGAATATAAATGAACACAAATGAGATATTC